ACCGGACGTACATGAAGAAGACGGACCGCGAAGAAAACAGCTCCTGGTCCGGCTGACCAAAACTGGTCAGCTCCGGACTAAGGCTTCGGAAGGTTTCCGCGGCTGACTGGGCGAGGGATCGGCTGACTGGGCAGGTGCGCGTGTTGTTGGTGCGGGGCTGACCAAAATTGGTCAGCTCCGGACCAAAAGTTCTTCGGCTGGGCAGGCGGACTGGGCAAATGAGTTCTTTTACTTCTTCCTCGTCTTCTCTCCTCGGTCCGACTCGATGTGCTGGGTAAACTTGGTCCGCCGGAGTGCATTCCGGTCAGCGGCAGACCAAGAGTCTGTCTTCTCCGTTTTCCTCCGAATTTCTGCGTGTTGCTCTCGAAGTCCTGCCAAGGTCAAGAAATGGTCCCAAAACCCTAGGATGGCTCTAAAAATGTCTAAGAATGTATGGAAAACATTTAGAAACCAAAGACATACTCGAATAAAATCCAGATAAAATCCGAGCCATCAAATCCCCCCAGACTTAAATCTTTGCTCGTCCTCGAGCAAATAAAATCAATGAAACACGAAGTCTGAGAAGGACGGTGAGTTAGAAATCGGTCTTTGATGAGTTTCAAGATCTAGCTACATGTCCACTGCTCAACTTATGGGAGTAGAATCGAATCTAGGCTACTCTAGCTATCCTCTCTTGTCAGCTAAACTTTCCTAAGTGTGGGATTTCTATGTCGTCCCTAGTCTACCATAAGAGTGATTCCAACCTCTAAGCACTCTCCTAAACCTATTTACCGTTTTCCTCCTCTAAGATATGTTATCTCTTCATTTATTTTGTCACTTTTTCTTTTCTTTTCTTTTCTTCTTCCTTTTAAGAAAATGCTAAGAGGAGTACTATCCCGAGTTCCTAGGACGTTGAAGTTGACAAGTGTCTTTGCTTTTGCTTTTTTCTCTAGTGATCATGACACTTGTCCCACAACTTAGACCCGAACCGTCGAATTTCGACGCACTCATGTCATCGAATGATTTTCATTAACGATATAGTGACAGCGGAGTGTTGGGATGTGTATACTTTCTTCGCTTATTCGTACCACTCATTCTTTCCAAGAGACTATCTATCCTATGGGAGAAGCTTCGGGAACGGTTTTTGGGAGATATTTAACTTAGGTTCGGTCGGTCCTACTCTTTGGCATACCTAAAGACAACAATATACCCCACAACCTAGAATTGCAAGCATCGAAGAGAGGGTTCACTATTCACCTATTATCGACAATCTACTCGAACACCTAGAGGTCTAAGTCCAAATCGCTAAGCAATCTCTAAGCAGCTATCACCATCATCTCATCATCAACCAATCTCAACTCAAAACGGTTTATGCAATGCATATGCTTCTACATGTTCTAGACCTATATGTAACAAATGCAATGCAAGACTAGGTGGTATCTATATGTACAAGTGCAAGAAATGCAAGTGTGGAATGCATATATGCATTGCATAAACCGTTTTGAGTTGAGATTGGTCGATGATGATATGATGGTGATAGCTGCTTAGAGACTGCTTAGCGATTTGGACTTAGACCTCTAGGTGTTCGAGTAGATTGTCGATAATAGGTGAATAGTGAACCCTCTCTTCGATGCTTGCAATTCTAGGTTGTGGGGTATATTGTTGTCTTTAGGTATGCCAAAGAGTAGGACCGACCGAACCTAAACAAGTGATTGCGAAAATACATAAAAAGGAAAGTTAGCAAATCTGTTCTAGAGTCTTCCTTTTTGCTTCCTAACGTCCATATGCTGAATTATTGCTTCCAAATTCGTTCTTGCCTTGTTGTAGGATCTGATTTACACGAAATTATGCTTGCTTGCTTAGGATAGGAAAGTTGTCTTGATGGCATAATCCTCCTTGGTTGACTTGTCTTGTTTCCTTTGTTGTTGCCTTGCGTGATAAGTCTTGATCAGATTTATCTTTCGCAACAACAATACAAACACCTGAAGTTTTTTGTTCATCAAGCATATGTTCAGTTGCACTTGACTCTGATTGAACAGCAACTTTGGTCTTGATCTCACCACCATCAAGAAGACCCTTTGATTGCCAATTTGTACATTCACCACCAGAGTGTCCTCTGCCCAAACACATATAACATAGAATATCTCGAGTTTTTGATTGAGAAATTCCAGATGTACCTTTGTGTCTTGGCTTGAAAACTATGGATTTGGATATAACTTCTGGATTGGAATAAAACCATTCTTGTTTTGAAAACTTTGGACTTGTGCTCGACGAATTTGAACCAGATCTCTGAGGCGAATTTCCTCTCCTTGGAATATTTTGTTGTTGTCGGCATTGCGCAACATATGTTGAAGGAAGAAGAGAACTTTCTGATCATGAAGACGACTCAAGACAACAAGTTTCTTATTCTACTCTTTCTAGTCGGTTTTTAATCTTGTTCCATTTCTGCATCTTGTTGCACCTTCCTTCGTCGTTTTATTCCTTGGTTTCTCTTGGTGAACGATTGCGGAAAAGATTTTCGATCTCGTTTGTGATAGATCGATAAGAACCATATAGAGAATACTAAAGAGGGGTAAAAGGCAAGAGAGTGTGAGATCATTAGAGGGTAAAAGCCGAAATTTGAGTGAAACACTTTTTTGAGCGAAACCCTTGAGTGTGGTGAGATTATTTTTCTTTCTTCTTTCTCCTTACCTTCATTTGCAGAAACATGGCAGATGAACAAAATCGTAACGATGACAATCAACATGGAGAAGCAACCCCACTTCAAATGCAATCATTGATGGGCGAGCTACAAAAAATTGTGCGAGCTGAGTTCAAGATCATGCATCAAAGGTTGGATCGAATGGAAAAGAAGGCATATGTTGCACAATGCCGACAACAACAAAATATTCCAAGGAGAGGAAATTCGCCTCAGAGATCTGGTTCAAATTCGTCGAGCACAAGTCCAAAGTTTTCAAAACAAGAATGGTTTTATTCCAATCCAGAAGTTATATCCAAATCCATAGTTTTCAAGCCAAGACACAAAGGTACATCTGGAATTTCTCAATCAAAAACTCGAGATATTCTATGTTATATGTGTTTGGGCAGAGGACACTCTGGTGGTGAATGTACAAATTGGCAATCAAAGGGTCTTCTTGATGGTGGTGAGATCAAGACCAAAGTTGCTGTTCAATCAGAGTCAAGTGCAACTGAACATATGCTTGATGAACAAAAAACTTCAGGTGTTTGTATTGTTGTTGCGAAAGATAAATTGGAAGACCCATCATTTACGCATCCTAAACCCTGCATGGATGTTCGAGAAGTGATTTTTGAACCTGAAGATTGGGTTTGGATTCATATGCGCAAGGAAAGATTTCCAAAAGAGCGAAAATCAAAGTTGATGCCTAGAGGAGCTGGACCATTTCAAGTTTTGGAGAGAATCAACAACAACGCCTACAATGGACCAATGACGAGGTCAAAATCAAGGGAACTCCAAGCTGCTCTAAATGGTCTTTTTCTTGAATGTTTGGGCCAAAAACACATGGGAAATCAATTTGGATCAAGTCATATACAAGTCCAGCCCATTTTCAACATGATTTCAAGTGTGGAGAGCCCAAAATGAAGGCCCAAAT